TCAGAGAGAGGGCATGAAACCTTTAAATGCTTTAAAAGTCAATTCTTCGTATCTCTTAAAGCAAAAAAAAAAAAAAAAAAAAAAATACTAAGGAACTCCTAACTCTATCAAGGACAAGTGTATCTACATTTCTGGGCAGTTTAGGAACAGTAATTGAAGCCAAGGGTATTTAGGAATATTAACACCCCTTAGCTTCTTCTCATTTTTGTTGTTTTTTACCATGTGGAGGTGTGACACTCTTGGCATTCCCCACTGAACAGGAGACTGAGAACAGGCCTTTCTGTTTAAAGCACAGAGTGATGGATACAGTGGAGTCATGCTAACCAGCTATTTAAGTGGGGTGAGGATAGTCACGATGGAGAGCTATGCAAATTACATAGAGGAGTTCTGCTCTGATCAGTCTGAGAAGGAAGCCACCATGTTTCTCAAGCATAACTGTAGCTACTACTAGAGACAAGGGGCTAGAACTAAAGGGACTACTTAGTATTTCTAACAGCTCAAGCTGTTTCCCTCTAGCTCAGAATGCCTTCCTCTTCATGGAAATCACCATCTTTCAAAGCCAGGCTCAAGTCCTGCCTCTTTGATAAAGACTCTCATCATTGCAACGCACTAGTCATTCCCTAAACTCCTACTGCAGTCTCTACTGTTTGAATAAATCTGTTCAGTATTTAATTGTTTCATGTATTTGTGTCTCTTGACTTCGTTAGATTATGAGCTTCCTAGAGGCAGGGGCCATGTTTCATGGGTTTTATTTTTTTATTATACATCCCCTTTCCTCTATTAAAATACTCTATAGTCTATATTTTAGTATTCATTTCTAAAAGAAAATATGGACATTTTCTTAGGTAACCACAGCTACCTAAACAAAATTAACAGTAATCTCTTGTTATCACCTAACATCTAGCTCATATTCAAATTTACCCAATTGCCTCAAAATGTCTTCTGACATGCTGTTATGAATCAACATCCAAACAAGATCCATATATTGCATCTGATTATTATGACTCTTAATTCTCTTTTATTGTAAAGCACACCCCCCTTCCCATTTTGTCAATGATTTTTTTAAATTTAAAGTCAATTAATTTAAAATCAACTAATACAGTGTATTATTAGTTTCAGAGGTAGAGTCTGTGACTCATCAGCTGCATATAACACCACCTAGCCATTTTTCCTATTAAGTGTACCACATTTGGGATTTGTCCGTTTCCTCCTAGTCTTAAGAACTATGTTTATTGGGGTGCCTAGATGGCTCAGTGGGTTGAGCGTCTGCCTTCGGCTCAGGTCATGACCCCAGGGTCCTGGGATCAAGTCCTGCGTCGGGCTCTCTGCTCAGCGGGGACCCTGCTTTTCCCTCTCCCTCTGCTGCTCCCTCTGTTTGTGCTCTCTCTCTCTGTCAAATAAATAAATAAATAAAATCTTTAAAAAAAAGAGCTAACTTTATCATCCATTTACTACAAATACATTATTAGGAGCAGAATATGAACCAGAACTCTATAAAATGCAGTGGCTACAATAGTGAATGCAACTATAGTCCTGGCTTAGACAGAAGAAAGCCGTGAAATAGCTGTACAAAATATTAACTACTAGCAATTATGATATGTGCTATGAAGGGAAAGTACAAAGTAGTAAGAGAAATTATAGCAAGGGGACCTAACCTACTTTAGGGATCAAGAAGAGTATTTATTTTATATAGTTCAATGCACCTTGTACAGTGTTAAGTAAATAAACATTCAGTACTCCCAGGCTGGCTGGGAGAGTAAGTTTTCTTCAAATTATCAGCCTTATAAACAAAAGGACACATCACCATCTCTGTGGAGTTATGAACATTAGATGTGATTCTCTTAGGACTCCATGTTAAAGAAAACTGAAAAGGCAAACAAATGGTGGTTTTCCCTAGTGAAATAAACGATTTTAGAAGAGAAGAAAAATTCAGGAAGTGGCTATATAAAATCAAAAGAAAAAGACCCCATTTTCTGGACCACCAGTTTAGATATTAGGACAATGGATTTTTGACAAGGAACAGAATAGATATTATTGAAGCCTAGAAAAATATGCTTAGTAGAATATCTGACATACTGCTAAAAAAGGCTTTTAGGTTAAAGTTGAGGAAGGAAAATTATCCAGGCACACTTTAAGATTGGATATAATGGATGGAAACAGACAGAACAGAAAAACAGTAACAGAGAAGATAAATAATAACCCAGATTTTCATTTTAAAAGCTTATAGCACTGTTTTTAAAGTATTATAAAATACATTACTTTTATACAGAACTCTCTACTTGAGACCAATGTAAATGTTTAAGTCACCCTTGTCCACATCATGTTAGTCTAGTTGGGGGTAACAGCATGATTTGAGTGTCTTGAAAAGAAACACCTTCTGCTATGGATTGAACTGTATTCTCCACCCACAGCCAAATTCACGTGCTGAAGCCCTAACCCTCAGTCTGACTATATAAAGAGAGTCTTTGGGAGGTAATTAAGGTTAAATGAGATCATACGGATAAGGCCTTAGTCTGACAGAACTGGTGTCCTTATAAGAGGAGGAATAGAGGGGACACCTGGGTGGCTCAGTCGGATAAGCATCCAACTCTTGATTTTGGCTCAGGTCATGATCTCAGGGTCCTTGAGATCGAGCCCTGTGCTGGGTGTGGGCATGCGGCCTGCTTAGGATTTTTCTCTCTCCTTCTGCCCTTCCCCCACCCCTTTCTCCCTCTCCAAAAAAAAAGGAGGAAGAGAGACCAAAACTCCCTTTCAGACATGTGAAGACACAGTGAGAAGGTGGCTGTCTGCAAGTCAAGAAGAGAACCCTTGCCAGAAACTAAAACTGCTGAACCTTGATCTGGTATGTCTAACCTCCAGAACTGTGAGAAAATAAATATTCAATGTTTAAGCCACTCCATCTAAAGTATTTTGCTGTGATAGCCCAAGTTGACAATTACACTTTTCTAAATTTTTTCCTCTCTAGTATCTAAATCTTAAAGCTCTCTCCTCTGCATGATTTGTAGAATATGTCTGCGCAATTTGAAGGATACATTGGAAACTAAAGCTATGTGCATAAAAAGGCTACCTTGACACCTAACCAAGTAGACCAAAGAAAAATAATTGGTTAAGGAACTTCCTAATCAAGGGAACAAAATGAAACAGATGGTTTTATTTGCTTGCATTTACTTTTACACTCTTGAAATTTCATATTTTTTCAATACAAATAGGAGCTCTCTTCAGGTGACCAGATCTGGGTATTTTCAGCTGTGGTCAGCTTCTCTCTGAATCCCACTAGGGTTTGGTGATGCAGAGTAAACAAGGCTATAAATCAACTGCAATGCATTTAATACCTCAATGCATTGCAAATTGATCTGGAATAGGGATCAGTTCAAATCGTTTTTTAAGTGAAATTGTTCCTTTCCCCTGAAGGGAAGGAATGGAAGTTAAAGATAGAAAGTCCTAAAGTTATATGGGATTCAGAAGTGTGGCTGTTTGTTAGGATAGTCAGAGGCCAGGTTTCTTCAGGTGAGATTCTTCTGTTACTTACCAGGTTGGAACCGTGGATATTTAAAAACACATCCTGGTGGCTGGCATTAAATCTGAAATCTGGTGGGCAACTTTTCAAGAAATAAAAGCTACAGACAAAATAGCTTTAGTTCCATTCAGCACACTGTGGGAAATGCAGCTAATGGACAAGCATTACTATGACTGGCAAGGCGAGGTGCCAATAAATGAGAGGAGCAGAGATTCAAACCACCACATAACAGCAACATTTCCTAAGCTTATTCCACTAATTTGTCAAAGTAGAACATTATCTGAAGTGAAAGAAAAATGAGGTTGGAAAGCACAGGGGAAGGAACTATTTAAAAGTAAAAGCTATGCTTCTTTCTCTATTGGTTAGTTATCTCTGCTTTGAGTAATTATGGTTTAATTCTACCATTTCCTGATACCACACTTGGTTTTACTAAAGGCAGTGTTTTCTCTTTTTCATATGGTAAGCAGAGAGCTACTTCTGGTAGGACAAATTTCCAGTTGTTTATGTCTGCCTTGCCTTTTTCCAGTAGGAAGAAATGAAGTCTAGTCATTACAGAAGGAAAGTGTGGAGCTCTGATATGTCACACCTCACAAAGGGATGTAGGGCTATATTCTCTGCTTACCCTTTTTTCCCCCTGAAGAAGAAAAACTTCAAGTGCTATCTCCCATCTTCTCTCCATCTTTAACTCTCAACTCTCAATTGTTTCTTATAATTTTAAACAAACTGTTAAACAGGGCAATACTTGTACTCTCTTACTTGGAGTGGAATGAAAACTATCCCATCATAAAGGAAGAATAGATTCACTTATTGTATAATTAAAATCAGTCTAAAATTCAATAAATAATGCCTTAAACTCTATTTCAGATATGCTTTTTAGTATAATGGTTAATGTAATAGTGTAATGGTTCTCTGTGTAATGTAATACAGCATGGACTCTGGGACTGGACTACGTGGGTTCAAATCCTATTTCCATTACTTACTAGCTGTACAGATTGGATAAATTAACTTAATCTCTCTATGACTCTGTCTCTTCATCTGTAAATGGAGAACACTAATAGTACATCACAGGTTGTTGTACCTGGCAAAGAGAAAGCACTATACATATGTTAACTACTATCAAGATTATTTCAGAGAATATCTAAAGGGCATTACGTTAATCGCCCTACTCTCTGTTAGTACTATTAAACAGTTACATACAAAACCAAGTGAAACTTTTTCTGTCTTAGGTCACATAAAACACTCCTCTTGCTAATCAGATAAGGAAAAAGAATAAGAATGAAATCCTTTCTTCAAAATTAGCCTTAAATGACACAAAGATTTCACCAATAACATAAGTATACACTTGACTTTTAGAGGCAAGACATTCTATTTAAATCCACATGTTTCAATGAAAAGAGTCAAATGAAAAACACATACAATAATAGCAGCTTATTCTAAAACACTGACATCACCTGAAACATTGCTTTATGAGCAAAATACATACTTCTGGGGTGATCGGTTATCAACTTCAGCCTTCAGTCGTAAATTCTCCCTCACCAGGCCACCATTTTCCAATTTCAATTTTTTATTTGCCTTTAAAAAAGAGTTGAAAATAATTAAGCACGAACTAAAACAAGTGCCTTACAAAAATTATGTCATGAGCCATCTGTATTTTTTAGAGTGATATCAGAAAATTGAATACTAGAACAGAACATGGTCCTCAGAAACTTAAAATCACCACTGGGAATGACTTGTGAAACTGTGAACACAGCCAAGCATTTTTAATCCATAATCCCCAAGCACTTTGCAATTCTCCTATCCAGGGAAATAAACAGCTATGTTAGTTAGCTTAGCGTCATTAAGGGACTATACTAATGGCAAATATTTTTTTTTTCCTTTTTCACATAACTGAATATTCTAAGCATGGTAACATTAGACTATATGCAATTATTTGCAAAACTAATGCTAAGAGTTAATTCTCATGAATTATGAGCTGTAAGCTGATTTTGGGTTGCTACTTAAAAATAGCTTTTTAGTGATAACAAATCTAATATAATTAAACCACTTGCTTTCTTTCTTCAAAAGGCTTTCCCAAATGCCTTGGCTCACAACTTCTGGGACTCTCAAAATTGGGTCAATATTTTCTAATAAAATTCTAAGAATTCTCTTTTGATTAAAAAAAATCCCAACTATGACTTTCTTTTTGAATTGTATGATACCTAAAAATTGTCTAACAAAACATTAATTGCTAGAAAATTTAGAAGTTGAATATTGATTCTAGACAAAAAGTAGTGTGCCTCAATTTTAGAGTCTTCTTAAAAGCTATTTAAATTCCTCAGTCATGGCATTTTTTAATCCCAAAGAATAACACTCCCTAGCCTAGAAACCAATCTGACTAACTTGGCAAGAGAAATGTATTTTGTTTGACTAGAACACTGACATTTGAAACATTTTAAAGTGAATGGGTCACGAAAACTGTCAACAAAAAGGCTTAACCCAGAAGACTTAAAAACAGATTTCAAAAATTTGACCAATGTTTTTGAATAATTTCCAGAACTTCTGACTATACTGCTCATCCACCCACACACAAATACCCCAAGAGGATGACAACAGAGGAAGGGCAAAAAACATTCTCTGGGCACAAAGCCTAGCTAGCTCTTGCACTTACACTCATGGAGGTTCTTTTTGGGCTCTTGAGCAGCTACTTACCCTCATGGTTGCAAACTAACCAGTACTGTGGAGGGTTAATTCTTTAAGTGACTGATAAACACTATTACTGCCCCTCTGAAGATACAAGGAAAGTCATTTACTTCCTCATACACACACACAATGAATTAAGCTCTCAAACACAGCACCATAAGAAGAGGCACTTAGTGAATGCGTTCTGATGATGATGACAAGCTTAAATTAGAAACTCATTTGACTTCTCTTCCCCATCCCTTCCATACTGTATCACTACATTTCAAGGTCTTTCATCAGTCCTGTGGCTCTCTAATATCCTCATTATGGACTGGCTGGTTCCTCAACTATCAGAGGTATTTTCTTTTCTTTTTTTTTTTTTAAACCATCAGAAGTATTTTCGGTTTAGGTGGGTCAAGATTACAAAGCGCAAAGTTCTGCCCATTCATTGCACCTAGGACTTCACATAACTATTTTGCATTTGCAATACTGATTGCGTAACGATACTGATCTCATAATGGTTTCAAAACTTACCTAGTCCTGGAAACATCAGAAAACAAGTCCATTTCAATCATGTTGTGTAGTCTGAATCTTTTGTACTCCTGTATTTGATTTATAGTATGTTATTTTGTACCTCACATTCAAATTTTGCTTCCACGTTTTTTAATTCATTTGTGCCCCCGTTTATTGCCTAGTACTACCTAATACCACCACTAGGCATCCAAAATGGGCTTGTTAAATATCCCAAATAATTCTGAGGTCTCAGTGTAGCTTTGGGTATTGAATTTAACATGTGACCTTTAAAAGAGCAAAGAAAAACTGTGTTTTATGTACTTTTCTTTCACATACACCACCTACACCACTTTTACAAGCCCAGAATAATGCTTTCATACAGATCCTCATCTTCAAAGAACCATTTATTGCCAAAAATTTAAATGAAGTTTAATAACTATAAAAGAGACCACGTAGAACTTAATGATAGCTCAAGAAGACGAAGGGAAGTTAAAGGGGACATAGTAGATTAATAAATACTGTTAACTTTCCAGCTGTCCTTCCTTCTTATATCCTCTTCTTGGACAAACCAACCGGCTAATGTTGGCCTTCAATACCCAAAGAAACTACACACTTCCCCTAAACTTGTAACAAACTCAGTGTAATTCTATCCATAGTTTCTTTTTTCTCTGAAAGCACTAAGTTCCCTTCTTTCATTACGGCCTTTCCTGAGCTCAAACATTTATTTTATAGGCAGGTATGTGAAGACGACTTAGTATTTACACTAAGTTGCACACTTCTATGCTACTCAGCTTTACTGAGGATCCGGGGGTCAGTATGTGGTGGTAGTTCTTTAAGGAGCTCATTAATGTTTTCAAGGAGGCAGGACTCAATAATTCAACACAGTAACAATATTTTAAGTGAATGCAGACAGGTTAAATGGGAGGCTGTGGACATGGATACCACAAAACCAACTCCATTCAGCACAGCAGGATTCCGCTGTGGAGGACTTCCGCTGTGAATAAACTTGAAATGAAAGCCAAAGCCTGGTCCCTCTGGCCAACAAAACTCTACAGCACTTGATTATAACAACTTCTCATACTGACGGCATGGATCTCATCTCTTTTCCTAGACTGAAAAAGCCTAGAGGTTGCCTTTTCCACCTATGCTTTATCTTCTTGGGTGAAAGGAATAATTGAAAAAAATGAACCCACTTCATAAGCTACAATACTTTCTTACATGGAGTATTCCAAAGCAGCTACTCAAAGCTTCCTTGGAATTAGTCATTCAGTCTTTACTTACAATATTAAAAATCAGAGAATGGTAGTATTAGAAAAGATATGTTCCAAACCTTCCATTTTATAGGTAGAGAATTGAATACGTTTGTTTTTATGCATATAGGGCATAAGCTTAAGAAACAATTAAGGCAAACCACAAAGAAGAAATAGAAACACATCCTTTAAACTGATGTCACTCTTCTACAAGAAGATGCAAACTCATACAAAAGCACTACAGTCTTCAATTATGGTCACAAATGGAATGACCTGATATTTCTTGGCAGCTAATGACATTTAAGGAAAAAAGTTCTACTGCTTATAAATGCTCATCCAGAGATTTTTGTCCTTCCCCAAAAATCTTCTAATGAGTGAAGATAATATGGCTATTTTACTTTTGAAGGTACTTAAAATACAGAATTTTAAAAACTACAGTAGAATTTTAAAAATAACCACAACTTACTTCCTTTAACTTATCCACATCATCTTTTACTTTTTCATAGATTTCATTAGCTGTTCTAAGTTTTTTCTTCCACTCTGCTACAGTTTCTGGGTCAATTTTATTTGGATTATCTGCAACTGGATGCTTGTCTTCATTCTGGTTGCCTTGCATCAAGGTTAAAGGATCCAGAATAGTCTTGATTTGTGACTCTAGGCTAAGATTCTTACTCTTAAGATCTTCTACTTCTTTCTGCAGACAATCTATTTCATCCTGAAAAAGAATTGCATGGCCATTAGATAGATACAGATCCTAAACACATACATATGCTAAACTGAAGTCAATGTGTTTTTAAATTTTATACTCAAAATTCTGTAGGTACACAGATTCATTATGCATCAGAATAGCTTTGTAGGCAGAAATTCTCAAAATGTATTTGACCCTGGTAAAAGCTGGCATTTCCACATTTTAATTCAGTGATAGTTTGTGGTTAAAAAAATAAAAATGTTGGGGCGCCTGGGTGGCTTAGGTGGCTGAGCATCCGACTCTTGATCTTAGCTCAGCTCTCGATCTCAAGGTCATGAGTTCAAGCCCTGCAGTGGGTTCCACACTGGGCATGGAGCCAACTTAAAAAAAAATAAAACAAATAAAATAAAAATAAAAATGTCAAATCTTTGATTTTATTGAAGAAAGCCAGAAAACGAGACAAGTCACGTGAATTCAACAAGGAAGTAGATTCCGCAGAAGAAAATTCTTAGGCATGTTTAATTGCTTTAGTAAGGGGAATTAAAAAAAGACAGTGTTGATCAAGGTCACAATAGTTTTGATGTTTACATTTTTGCTTCTGCATTTGAAGTAGAGTGTAACCCTATACCATATCCTTCCACTTTCCTTCAGAATACATGTGGTTAATTTTTAGTTTTACTTTAACTTTTCTATATTCTGGTTCTTCAATTACCACTGTGACTATTTCAAGTATTAGTTTTCCCCATCTGGAACTGCTGTCTTAAATCCAATTACTAAACATTTGGTCTAGAACTCTTTTTTGTGATACCATTTATTAATCTATAATAGATATTTCATCTTAAACTAAGATTGTTAGAAATTCTGTTGTTAGAAAATAAACTCCAAGCAGTTCAATATGCCAGTGAACTCTTAAATGATTAATCTGATTAATACCTAAGTATGATAAATATTAATTATGTAAGAATACATTTTAGAGTTAACAGTACTATTTATTATTTTAAATTACAGTACATGTCAAATTCAATTGCGTTATTTAAAATAAGAAAGTAAGTTTTTTGTTGGAATTAATACATTAATAAACAAATACGAATTGGAAAACATATATGAACGAACATTTATGCAGTCATTTATTTATGCCCCACTTTATTTCAAAATATTTTTGAGGCAACTGAAAGTTTCCATGTATATACTTTAACTTAAAAATATTTTGTGTTAAAATAAGAGATTGATAACACCCCCTCTCTTTAGTCAACATAAAATAACAACTGGGTTTAATGGTTACTATTCAAAACCATGCATACTCCAGGGGTGCCTGGGTGGCTCAGTCCCTTAAGCATCTGCCTTCAGCTTGGGTCATGACCCCAAGGTCCTAGGATTGAGCCCTGCATTGGGCTCCCTGCTGAGCAGGCACCCTGCTTCTCCCTCTCCCACTTCTCCTGCTTATGCGCACTCTCTCTCTATCAAATAAATAAATAAAACATTAAAAAAAAAAAACACCCAAAACATACATATTCCATTAGCATGAAGCTAATTTGGAAAATTTCCATCACCATATCAAATCACCTTCACAAGAAAGAAAACTACTGCATGATCTCACTTATATGTGGTATCTAAAAAACCTGGATATATATAAGCAGAGAGTTAAACAGTGGTTACCCAGGGTGGGGAGGTAGGGGAAATGCAGAGGTGGGAGAAAGGAGATGGGTCAATATGTACAATGTTGTAGTTATGTAGGATAAATAAGTCTAGAGCTCTCATGTACAGCATGATGACTACAGTTAATACTGTACTGAATACTGGAATTTGCTAGCAGAGTAGATTTCAGGTGCTCTCAACACAAAAATAGAAGTACGTGAGGAGATGGCTATGTTAGTTAGCTAGCACAATCATTAGTTAGCACAATCATTCACTATGGATATGTATAGCAAAACATCATGTTGTGGGCACATAAATATATAAGATTTTTAAATTTTATTATTTGAGACAGAGACAGAGAAAGAGCTTGAGCACGAGCGGGGAGACCTACATGGGGCTCCATCCCAAGACCCTGGGCCTATGAAGTCAAACACTTAATCAACTGAGCCCCCCAGGTTCCCCAAATATACACAATTTTTATTAAAAATCAAAAACAATAACCTCACTGGTTAACATGCAAAAAAAAGGAAAAAAGGAAAAAAGCATATTTCACACCAAAATCTCTTTGCTGATACTTGACATAGGTATATTTATTTTACAAAAACTAATCAGGCATAGAATTATCAGGGAATTTATAGACAAACAAAATGGAATGAAAGTTACAGTCACTATTTACCAGAGCATTCATAATGCCCTGTGGGGGCTGGAAGACGGACTTTCAGAAGAGGGTTTCTTTTCTCTCCCAACTTGAGGAGAAAATACTTACAAACTGATGTGTCTATTGAGGACAAATTTGAAATTAAAAAAGAAAAAAAAATGCTTATATTTGTTCCTGTCTTCTATTTGAAATAGAAAAGGGAAAAAGAAAAAAAAATTATCAAATAAGATATTAAGTAGGCTCCATACGCAACATGGGGCTTGAACTCCTGATCCTGTGGATCAAGCGTCACATACTCTACTGAGCCAGCCAGGAGCCCCTCAAATAAGATTTTTTTTTTTTAAAGATTTTAATTATTTATTTGACAGAGTGAGACACAGCAAGAGAGGGAACACAAGCAGGGGAAGCGGCAGAGGGAGAGGGAGAAGCAGGCTTCCCAAGGAGCAGGGAGCCCGATGTGGGACTCGATCCCAGGGTCCTGGGATCATGACCTGAGCCGAAGGCAGACGCTTAACGACTGAGCCACCCAGACGCCCCCAAGTAAGATATTTTTAAAATAGCATTTAAAATAAGATTTCATTGGATATTTACTCTAAGAAGTCCAGAGACTGAGATAGCTAAGTTTTAGCTTGAATTCAGTGTTGTCCTCATTTTAAATTATAATTATTATTTACCTCATACTCTTTGTGGAGTAACTCAAGTCTAGTTTTCCGAAGGTGCTTCCTGACTGTATGGCTTAACATAGGTTCACTTTCGCTTGTTCCTCCTACAAGGGGGAAAAAAAAATCTAACTTTTATTCTGATTTAGGCAGTATGAAAACAAAGATAAACAGTTTTCTTATTGTCTTATATAGTTCTCCAGCTTAATTTCTACCCTTTCCCTTATATACACACTTGGGGCTGCCACCTAGGCCTTTTCTCTATCTCAATCTAGAGAAAAGATAAGTATCAAATAACGCCATAATACCTTCAGTAAAATATCATGGGTGTTTACTTACCTGTGTATCTTATTATAATAAACTCAATGAAGGCAAAGGCTGTATTTTGTTAATTATCACATTTGGACTACTGCAAAATTTGAATACCAGCAACTGTTAAGTGGTAATAAAACTAATGATTATATTTATATTTAACCAATTAATATATTATCCATATTATCAATTTAAATTTCACATAAATAATTATCCAATATGTTTATCTATCTATATATACATATGCGTTCATATTATGATATATATATTATTATAACCAAAGTATTCAAACATACCTAGTTACTGGTAACACAAATAAAAAGATTAATGCATCTTTTAACTGAATCTAACAACCCAGTTACAATGGATTATGAATCACAGCATTAACTGTATGCCCGTAACGCAATACAAATACACTCAAAATGAATTCTTTCTGAAAGCTCGTCACCTATGCTGTGGTTACTTTCTTTGTACCTCTTAGTATCATGACAGCAAAGGCACTTTACAGATGTTCTTTTTCAGGACATTCTATCCAAATACAAGATGAATGAACTATTTTACTTGAGTGAATTTATGAAATATCACTTAGATATGAAGGCAGGAGAAGGTATGTGAAGAGAAGCTGGGGAAAACACATTCAAATTATTTTAATCATCAAAGTTCACACAGAAAAATATTCCTCTACCAGATTTCACCCAGGTATCAAGAAAGAAACCTTGGAATAATCTCTGATTCCTCCTTTGGATTTCTTAGCTCCAAAATCCTACTAGTTCTTCTTTTGTTCTGGTATTTATCTTCCTTTCCATTTGCACTGTAAAAATCTTACTAAGTCCATTTTCCCTAAATTGGGATTATTACAATGACTTCTTACGTTTTCTGAAAAGTGTTTTCTATACGTAGCCAATGATAGATTCACTTTTAATTTTTCCTAAAGCAGAAACAAGTAAAAATCATTTTAATTTCTGCAATCTAAGAATGATAACTTAATGAAGAGAATAAAATCCAAACACTAAAAACGCTCTTTAAATGTTTAATCCTTCAAGGATCTTCTAGTTCAAGTTTTATCTCCCTTTTACCCACACTGGTATCACACTGAATGTTCTTTTTTGTCCGAAAACCAGACTCACATTCCCCCTTAACTGGGCTAGAGCCTCCTACCTGACATACTCACATTGTGTCTCTCCCCTTCAACCCAACTCACATATCATTCCTCAAGCACATTTTGGATCTTGCCACTCCCTTGTTCAAAATCATCGGCTCACTCTACTCTTCTTTTCACCCACAGAGCAAGTCCCTGAATTAGTTTATTATTCAAGATTCTCTGCACTTAAGTCTCAATTTATATTTTCAGTCTTATTTCAGTAGTCAGACCAAACTTAACTACTGATCATTTCTAAAAACATTCTTTGTGTTTTCCTACTTCTAATCCTTAGTTCATGCTATTCTCTCTGTATAAAATGCCCTCCCTAATCTTTACCAGTTGAAATTTTATCCATTCTTAAATCTCTTAAGGCCACGTGCTTTATGAAGCCTTTCTTGATATTCCCAGCTGAACTTCCTTGCCTGAACTCTATGGGCCTCTTTGACCTTTAGCACCTGCTCCTTTAAACCATTAATATCTTGGTTCACATGCATAGCCTCTTACCATAATGTTAGTTCCACAAGGCTCTAAGATTTCTCATAGTGGCTTGTGCCCCTCATGCGTTCATTTACAGATTATACAAATGACCAATCCATCCGTATGACAGTGGCAAAATGACATCCATGAAAATTGTCTATTTTAGTCTTTCTCCAAATATACACTATTTAGAAATTGTTTCAAATCTGTTTTTATGCGTTTATAAAATAGGCCCTTACCAATAATCTCTTTGCAAGGATTTTCAGGCGTGATGGGGACTCTGCAAGCTGGACACTGGCTATTATTCTTCAACCACAAATCGATACAAATTGAACAAAATACATGGTTGTTGATGCATATGACAGGCTGGCGTACCTTTGAAAAAAGAAACACTACTTTTAGTACAGGGCAATAGTCATAACTGGGAGAATCCCAATAAGTTTAGTTTAGAGCAAACAAATAGTTTCTCTAGAGTACAGCAGAGTACGTGCTTTAAGAGGAAATTATTCAGGATTTATAAAAACACTGGTTTATAATTTAAACAGCAAACAATGCTGACAGAAATACTGACATGCACTAAATATAAAAATCTTTGACTCCATTTATATAAGCACAAATACTAATACTTTACATTTATATAGTCTTATATTTTACAAAGGGCTTTCACATTACTTTCTCTGTGTTTTTGTTTTGTTTTAAATAGTCCTGTTTTGTATTTAACACAGTTAAATATACCTCACAAGGAAACCAAATTGTGAAGAAATTAGGCGGCTCGGTCAGGATTAACTAGGTGTTCTGTGTGTAGCTGTTTTATAAGACAGAAAATAAAAGAAAGAAGTTACTTTAGTTTTCTATCTGATGTTATGTTTGCTTACACATTTAATGTCTATCTCTCCTATTAGAAAGGAAGCTGCATGAGAACAAGAACTTCCCTCATTTCATTCATTCCTAAATCTCTGACGCCTAGAAGACAGCCTAGTACACAGTAGGTACTCAATAAAAACTCGCTGGATTAGTGATTGCTATTAAGACAGTATTTAACATTAATTAGGGAACTGCCAGAGGAATAATAACTTAATATTCTTCAAGTAGCAAAAATTTTAAAATAAAAACCAAAATAACATGGAAATGCTTAGGCTTTCATTGATTCACAAGGTAATGTTACTGTGGACTCAAAATACTTTATAGCATTTTCAATAGTTTCCTGTTATAATAATAATAAAAATACCACTTTAGAGTCCTTCTACACTCGAGATCAGAAGATTAAGAGAAAACAGAGAAAGTAGAGGGAGAAGAGACAGAACCACCACAAACCACTTTTTAAAAATTTTTCCAGCTTATTTTTTATTATGTTCAGTTAGTTACCATATAGTACATCATTTTTGATGTAGTGTTCAATGATTCATTAGTTGCATATAACACCCAGTGCTCATCACAACACATACCCTCCTTAATACCCATCACCCACCACCTCCTCCCCCAACCCCCTCCCCTCTGAAACCCTCAATTTGTTTCCTCACTGATTTCTCCCCCTTCAGTTTTCCCTCCCTTCCCCTGTGGTCCTCTGTGCTATCCTTATGTTCCACATATGAGTGAAACCATACGATAATTGTCTTTCACTGCTTGACTTATTTCACTTAGCATCATCGCCTCAGTCCCATCCATGTCGATGTGAATGGTGGGTATTCACCCTTTTTGATGGCTGAGTAATATTCCATTGTATATATGGACCACATCTTCTTTATCCATTCATCTGTTGAAGGGCATCTCGGCTCCTTCCACGGTTTGGCTATTGTGGACATTGCTGCTATGAACGTTGGGGTGCATGTGCTATGTCTGTATCTTTGAAGCAGATACCTAGCAGTGCAATTGCTGGGTCACAAACCACTTTCTGCAGAGAAAACACTTACGCTGCTCTATGTCTGCCTCAGAGAGATAGTGTGTATTCATTAATTTGAAAGGGGTCTCTACCTTAAAGAAATCACAGATGTATGGCGATCCAGACAGGCAGGAAATCATTTTAAGTGTCACTGTAAAGAACTCCTTGGTCTTAGTGTGGCTTTCTAAACACTGAGATGCTCCCTTGATTATGCACATTAACATATGAAAACTAAACAGAAAAGATGATTCAGCATTCATTTAGATTTCCTCTTGGAGAAATGAATTCTAATTCATTCAGTTCAACTAATTTGAATGAATGAATGAATGAATGAATAAGATATGAAGGACAGCTTCTCATACTCTTCTTCCAAAGTGCTCCTACCTACAGCAAGGAGTGAATGTTTATCTAGAAGGTATTCCTGGTCAGAGTCTCAAGAGGCAGACAAGTCTAAATTTCCTTTACAGGTCCTGTTTTTTCCTAAAAAGTCATGTAATTCGTCCAAGTTCACCATTATATATTCATGGGTGTTTTCATCTTTAAAGTCATGAAATGTTTTAAGAACAAAAAATTTCTCAAAACTAAGTACCAGAAAGATACTGCCCAATCTATTCTATAGCTTTCTGCAACACACACACACACACACACACACACACCCTAAATTCCTACTATACTCCTAGAAGTATGTGTACCCCTAAATTAAGAAACTCAAGTAAAGAAAGAAAAGTTATGTCCTTGGACTTTAAGAGCAGTGATATAATTTCTTTTAAGTCATGAACTCATCTAAAATGGATGAAAGCCAATGGTCAAAACATGAAACTGTGCACATTTAAAAAGATTCAAGATGCTCTCCTACTTCTTAGAGGCTTCCCTCATTAGAAGCACATTTAAAGGCAATCAGTATTTTCTATGTAACTGCTTCCACAACAAAGGTTAACTATCTCCCCAATCTAAAAGATGGTTTTGGATAACTCAGTAGTTGATGCTATCACTAACTAAGGTGAGAAAGATGGAGGAAGAGAAGGTCTGAGAATCACTGGCATAAATATGATGGCATTTATTTTTTTTTTTTAAGGATTCTATTTATTTGACAGAGAGAGACACAGTGAGAGAGGAAACACAAGCAGGGGCAGTGGGAGAGGGAGAAACAGGCTTCCCACCTAGCAGGGAGCCCGATGTGGGACTCGATCCCAGGACCCTGGGATCATGACCTGAGCCGACGGCAGATGCTTAATGACTGAGCCACCCAGGCACCCAATATGATGGCATTTAAATCCACAGGACTGGAGGAGATCCCTCCATGGGCAGAGTAGCTTGAGACAAGGCATTCCAGCAAGCAGAGGAAGGAAAAGGAGGAACTGCCAGCAAAGGGACCTAAGAAAGAGGGGCCTGTGCCAGACGACAGGAGAGTACGGTCTTAAAGAAGCCAAGAAAAGAGATTTTCAAGAGGAAGACAATGGCCAAGCATGTCAAATAATAAGAGAATGAGCTTGGGGTGCCTGGATGGCTCAGTCAACTAAGCGTCAGACTCTTGATTTCAGCTCAGGTCATGACCTCAGGGTTATGAGATCAAGTCCTGTGTTAGGCTCCTCATTGGGCACAGAGCCTAGGAAAGGGAAGGAGAGGGGAGGGGAGGGGAAGGGAGGGGAGGGGAGGAGAGGATAAGAGAGGAGAGGGGAGAAGAGAGGAGAGGAGAAGAAAAAGAATGAGCCTGATATGGAAAGAGAAATGACTATACGATTAAATTACATGGAAGTCATTGTGATCTGTTACTGACAAGCGCTGCTTCAGTAAATGGTAAGAATGGAAACCTGACTGAAGGTTGAGAAAGACAGGGAAAGGTTAAGTGACAACAGAGAATATAGACAATTCCTTCATGTTTTGCTGTGAAGGAGTGAGCATAAGAATTAAGACCATGGTAAGAGATGCCAATGAGAATGACACAGTAAAGAGGGGATATTAATGACGGAGGAAGAAGAGGAGGGATTAGAGCCACAGGCAGCAAAGTCCCTAAGAAGTCAAGAGGGAATGAAATCCAAAGCACAAAGCAAAGGTTTTGGCTTTTATGGGATTGAGGATCTGTCTTTCATTGTAACAAAAGGGAAGGCCAAGGGTATGAGAACAAATGCAAAGGGGTTAGAAGATCTGTTGATGGAAAAATGAGAGAACTCATGTTCTAACTATTCCAATTGCTTATATTTTAATCATTAAATATGAGGTGAGATTCCCAGCTGAAAGTGAGAAGTGGGTAGGGATATCAACTTGAGAAAACAGAATAAAGCAGTATTTTGAAAAGGGAGAAAGTAAATTTACTAGTAATTTACATATAGCAGGATTGCCAAACATTGCTGAGTTCCTATTTGAGATCTGTGATTTTTACTATAAACAAAAACCAATTAACACAGGTGTTTATTTTTCTTAACAATTTTTACCTGTTCAGTTTCAGGCAGGAAGCAAATAAGTAGATGGGTTTACCCAGAGTTGGGTTTTTGCCAAGAAGATAGAGAGAGACAAGGGACTGATGATAATAAATGACCATGGTTAACAAGGGACATGAGTATATGAATGGTAATGATGACAGTGAAAAAGTGATATTCACAGAGTCAACGAATTGGTCTTGATAAGGCTGAAGTAATGCTGGAGAGTAGGTATGATGAAAAGAGGATCAGAGTGAGATGCTTATAGTCAAAATACCAGAGTTGGTACAGCTGCTTTCTTTAATGTTTTTTTCCTGGGCCATCTTATCTGGCATAGTTCTATTTTCTCTCTTAATCTCATGTAACACATGATGTTAACATCTTTTCTATGACAACTCCTGAGAATCCTCTTGTAACTGGACCTCAGTAAGTGGCAGAGCTTAGGTTGTGAGAGACAAACCTGGGGCTAACTCCAGCTGGGCCACTTGAGCTGTTTGACCTTGGGTAAGCCCTTTAGTTACAATGATCATCGGTTTCTGTCTCTGAAGATAATGGCTTAACTTAGTATACTTTTCATCCAGGCATTAAGATTTAATAATGTAAAGATACAAACACAGAGGGTTCCAGATAGCAATCCCTCAAAAAAAGAAAAAAAGAGAAAGAAAAGAAAAGGTAACAGTATTACTATATCTGTGCCTCAGAGCCAACTCCATGTAAGGATCTTGTAGCTGCCTCAGTTATCACATGTCCAAACCCAAACTTGGCTTCCTCCACACATTTGCTCCTCCTCCTGCACTCCTTCTTATCTAAGGTAATGGCACTACCACCTCGTTACTTGAACTAAAATACTCAGAGCTGTCTGTCTCACCCTTTTCACTTAGCCTCACCATCCAGTTGGTCATCAAATCGTGGTATCATGTATCAAGTCTAAGTGGCCAGAGATTTTAAGATGGACCAATATTTTCTGTACCACTAAGAAAAAAGTATGAAAAATGTGCCAATTACAACTGTAAGATGCCATCACTTGATACAGCCAGGTTTCAAAAAAGTTATAGTATGAAAAATTACATCCTATAATT